CACTAAAGCTATGCAGCTGCTGCTGCCTGCGAATGTGTTTCGAGCCCCTTTCGGTACAGCCCTCGCCCTTTTCACCAGACACAGGGTGGAGCTGTGGATGCGCAGCGGTGGTAGTGGGGGGGCAGTAGGGGTAAAGGATGGGCGTCTTCACAACGACACCCACACTCCCTCTCGTAAGAGCGAGGGGGAAGGAAGGGGGGGGGGCGAAGGAAGGGGGGGGGGGACTCACAGCACGAAGGTGAGCACGGCCAGGCCCCACACGTCAGCGGGGGCTCCCACCGCGTCCCCCTTCACCATCTCCGGAGCTGCACACATGCAAACACACGCAGCGCACTCCCCTTCAGTCACAAACGCCGCTCCCCTGCAGGAAACCGGCAGCCCAGAGTAGGGCGAGGTTGGTGGCAACGCTCAGAAATGGGGGTGGGGGGGAGGAGCTCTTGAACGGAGAAGAGACGGAACATCGGCAGCGACGTTCGGCCCGGAACTAGCAGTGCCGCCGCGTGCATCGAGTCTGGAGAAGCCATTCGATGGGGTCTGGGGTCTTAGGATGGGTTCCATTTATACCTCCTGCAAAAGCGTGTGTGACTGGACAATGACCGGTGATGGTGTGAATGATGAATTGTACTTCACAGTACTCACAATAAAGACTCGCACAGACACACAAGGAGACCCATAGACTCACGCAGCGACCCATACTACACGACAATGTGATGTGCGGGGGTGTGGCCACACGTGCAACATCACGCACTGTCCCCGACCTTGACCCTGCGGCCCTATCTGTGGCCTTGCACTCTGACCCCGAAGCGACCGCGGCCAAGTTCCCGTGCCCTTTGTGCTCACCCGAGTGCTCGAGGGTGCCGGTGCGCGGCACGACGGGCCGCGGGGCGCCACTGGGCGCGAACGAGCGGGCGCTGCCAAAGTCCACGAGCTTCAGCTTCTGCGAGTCGGACACGATGAGGTTGTCGGACTTGATGTCGAGGTGCACGATGTGGCGCTCGTGCAGGTAGGCGAGCGCGAGCAACAGCTGCGACAGGTAGCCCACCACGTCGTCCTCCGTGTAGCGTGGGCTGCGGGTAGAATGATTATTATAGTCGCTATGATAACCGTTATCAGCTATCATGATGAAAATCACAAGGAATGCGCCCGATTACGTCACATTTTGCAAGCTAAGCAGGGCTCTACCTGGATAGCGCTTTGAAGGGTCACCATGAAGCGTGCCGGGTTGCTATAGGTAGCGCCTGCGGTATGTAGCGTCAGCAGAGGGCCACGCAGTAAAAAAACAATGCCCTCTATGAGCATGGTGAAATATGGCCAAGTAACCCAGTTGGCCCGCACGGCACAGGCAGGCCCTCACCCGGCAGTGGATTGACAAAGGGCTGTGAAAGACATCCAATATCCGTGACCGCTGTAATATTCATGGTTCACGCATACGGGGTGGACGCCGTGAGAGCTTTAGGTGCCACCGAGTTTGTTGGGAGTCCATCTTCGAGTCCCCTCTCCCTCCCACCACAACCCCGAGACTCGCACCTCTCGAGCAGCTTGTAGAACAGCTCCTTGCCGGGGCAGCGCTCGGCGATGAGCACGAGGTAGCGCGGGGTGACGTACGCCTCGTGGAGACTCATGATGTGCTCTTGTCGCAGGGCCTTGAGGACCTCGTACTCGTGCAGCGCCACGGCCCGGGAGGCGGCCTCCAGTGGCACGATCTTGGCCGTGAACACGCGGCCCGTGGCGTTCTCCTTGCACTCGCGAATCACGCCGAAGCGACCCCTGCGCACACGAGCACACGCCCTCGGTGACCCCCCTCCTCCTCCCCCCCGTGACCGGTAACAATACCGGATCGGTAACAACACCGTGTGTCGAGTGCGAGTGAACGCATGCACCGCACCTCCGATTAGCACGGTTGGCTACGTACGGTGCGAAAGAAGTTCAACATAAATACACCGGCACCTAACGCACCTGGCGCGTTCCTCCAGGAATGTGTACGGTTTCTGTGCGGCTCCTGGCTGGGATCCTGGCTGAGATGCCGGCTGGGACCTCGGCTGGGACCCCGGCTGGGAGCCCGACTGGGACCCCGGACCCCGGTTCTGCTCTAGGGGTGGTGCCTCTTCCCGCCGCTCCGCCTCCGGGGGCCGCACTGCATCCGCACAGTTCGCGCGCTCACGTCAACCCGCCGACTCATTGAGACGGCGCGAGCCGCGGGCTCGGCACAAACGGTGAGGAGGTTTGGGAGAGAGGCGATGTCCGTCCACACCTGCCAGGGTGATACGCTCCGAGGAGAGGCTGGCGGGGCCACGTCCCGCCTTGTTGATGCAAGACACACGGAACTTGTAAACGGCGCCGGGCACCAGGCGCGTCACGTTGTAGTACGGGTCTGCGATGCCCGACGCCACCTGCGCCCACGCGGTCTCACCTGGGAGGGAGCGGTGGGGAGCCAGAGGCCGCGTGAACCGTGGGGGGGGGGGGGGGGGCAGGATCCAGTGGCGGAGTCTTGCAGACGCGTCGTTTCTAATTCCGGTTTAATGGAAATGCGTGGTCCCTTAAACTCAACGGTGGCGTTTGCCGACATAGCTGCCGCATTTCGATTTAAAGCTTTCGCGACTGCAGGGATTCATCTTCTTGGTTCTTTCGGTAAAGTCACGTAGAAGGGAAATAATAAAATAATACAAATAAAACATAATAAAATAATTCTCACAGCGTTTCAGCCACAACGCAAGCAGCCGTCCTCAGGTGAAGAACAGGTCTGTCGGAAATACAGCGTCTGAATGAAACAACCACCAGGCTTGGAGCGTATATTTAAGCTGGGTTGGAGGGGGAAGAGCGCCTTGACAAAATATATTGCATATCAAGAGGAATTTTGCATATTTATGGGAAATGCAAATATGAGATTAGTCATTACTTGTGGAATGCGTAGGAGGTGGGCGGGGGGTTTCAAAGTCATAATATGCCCGTGCATTATGCAGGATTAGCAGCATCAATTATATACTGTATTACTATACACCACCTTAGACTATACATTGTAATATTACACTATGTATTATTCTACCCACCCTAGGGTATATAATTTAATGTTGGGTTTGTCTATGGCAGTATATAGTACGGGGTAGACCCGTGTGATGTAAGAGAAAAAAGTTTAGCTGGAAGCATATTATATTTTTTGCGACATAGAATTGTAATGTATTACTTACTGTTAGTAGCTCAGCTTATTGGAGAGTATATTTATTATACTGATGATACTGATGTAGTTTATACTTTAGTTTTTTACGTGGTGGTTTAACTGCTGCAGCTCCATACTATTAACATTCCTTCCTTTTATTAATGCTAACCCTACTCCCTCCCTTTGATGCTGCTAATCCTGCATAATGCACAGGCATATGACTTTGAAACCCCCCGCCCACCTCCTACGCATTCCACAAGTAATGACTAATCCCATATCTGCATTTCCCATAAATATGCTAAATTCCTATTGATATGCAAATTATTTTGTCAAGGCGCTCTTCCCCCTCCAACCCAGCTTAAATATACGCTCCAAGCCTGGTGGTTGTTTCATTCAGACGCTGTCTTTCCGACAGACCTGTTCTTCACCTGAGGACGGCTGCTTGCGTTGTGGCCGAAACTTCGTGAGAATTATTTAATTATGTTTTATTTTTATTATTTTATTATTTCCCTTCTACATGACTTTACCGAAAGAACCAAGAAGATAGCTGCCGCAGCTTACGGTGGCAGCTTTTGAAGTGTGGATCATGCGTGGTTATTCATTGAGAACCAAATATGCACTCTGCCCAATGCTACACAGGATTTGGGCAGCATGAGGAGTCCGTTGAGTATAGAGGAGCCGTGAGAAGGACCCCGGATGCCGCGGCCACTCCGTACCCAGCTTCTTCATCTCGAGGCAGTAGGCCAGGGGGCCCTGCGCCTGCGGAGCTTTCCACACGACGAGCGCGCCCTCTTGGAACACCTGCGGCACCTCGGGCTGTCCGGGCCGGCCTGGCAGCTCTGTGGTGCGGGGACACAGGGGGACGCAGGGAAACACGAGGGCACGGTGTCGACCTTGCGAGAGCGTGCGGGGCGCTTCACGGAGGTTCCGTCGGACGCACGCGTGCAGGAGCGCGGCACGGACTCACGCGCGATCTTCACGGCGCACGTCGTGGAGGCGGCGCCGGCGCGGTTCTTGGCGGCGCACTCGTAGGTGCCGGCGTCTCGCTTCCCGGCGCCCAGCACCGTGAGCAGCTGGCGCCCGTCCGCCGAGACGGAGAGCGTGGTGCGCGCGTCCAGCTGCACGGCCTTTTTGTCTGCGGGGCGACACCGGGATGTGGCCACGTGCAGACGCGCGCACAGACAAAAATCCCCCGTGTAGCCACACAGACTGTTGGGGCAAGTGCTGTGAGCAGCGAACACCTACTACTGAGACAGGAATGGAATATGAACAAACAGTGGCCACAACTACTCCTGACCGTTTTTCTCTCCCCACCATCAATGTTTAGACAACACACCAGATACTCATTCAATACAGTACAATGTGGATTGCTAACGTGTTTCAATGCAACTACATCCCAGAGCCGAGTCGACCTGGAGCATGCCCAAGACAGGTTCAGATAACTTGTCACCGGTGTCTTTCGTCAGTGACAATGATAGCTCAATGTCCAAGGTCCTAGCGCCGTACACTTCCCACTGAAACCACTGCTCCCCATGACAGTGCATGCACAGGTGACCTCATGTGACCCCAATGTGTAAACACCTTGACGTTCATTCTATAAACTCGGTCATACTTGTGCCCACGAAGGGCGCCACGGTGGCGAGATGTTAACTACCTCGCCTGGTTTACAGTTGGTCGTGTGTTCAATCCCGACCCTGACGCCTGCTGCTGTATATTTGGAGTTTGCGTGTTCTCCCCGTGGTCGCGTGGATTTTTCTCCCAGGTCCTCCGGTTTTTCCCTCCACATTTAGAAACTCGCGTTTCGAGTATTTGGCTGCTGTAAATTTCCACATGACAAGCCACTTCGTTGAGCTATCATTTGTGGCCAGGTCGCTTCGGAAAAAGAGCTGTATAGCTCAGTGGGCCTTACCTGGTAAAATAAATCGATTTTATTTTAGCTTCATAAGTTAAAAGTGACATGGCCACACACGTACTGCTGGGCACCAGCGTGCGCGCCCCGGCCATCTCGGAGGCCGTCCATCTCGGAGGCCGCGCGTACCTTTGAGCCAGTGCACGGTAGGCGCCGGCTCGCCTGCGGGGAGGCAGTGCAGGGTGAGCGGCTGCCCCTCCACCAGCAGCTCGTCCTTCAGCTCCATGAGGAACGTCGGCGCGGAATCTGCACAGGGAAACGCCTCTCGAGTCAGACGCCGCCCAGCGGACCCACAAATAGCCTGCAAGCCGACAGGATTGCTCGGTAGCACCCAGGGTGGCAAATGCTACTCGTGCCCACCAAGGGCAGTGCCCACCCTGGGCAGACATCTTAGCCTATGTACCGTCAGTTTGGCTTGCACACGTAATATTTGTATTCACATTTCCCCAAAGTGATGTTCTCTTACAAAAGTATGACGTGGTAACCTTAGAACAACAACTACCCCATTGCAAAGTGACAACAGTGATCTTGCTATCGCTCACTTTTATGATATACAGATAAAATGCTTCAGGAAAATCAGTGTCAGAGCTGGCCACCCCGGGTGGTACTGATAACTAATATTCAGGCCCAAGACCAAGAACAGCAGCAGTGAGTTTGCTTTAATGACGTGTGCAGGTACCACCACCTGTGCAGGGTTGCGGTCCTCTGACCAGAACAGGCCTGTTCACATTCACCGTGCTGTTAGGCAGGAAGAGTATACAAAACTATTTTTTATTTTGCCAGGTAAGGCCCACTGAGCTATGTAACTTGGCCTCAAATGATAGCTCAATGAAGTGGCTTATCATACGGAAATTTATAGCAGCCACATAAGAGCATGTTTTTAAATGTGGAGGGAAAATCCGGAGGACCTGGAGACAAATTCACACGACCACGGGGAGAGAGACACGCAAACTCCAAATATACAGCAGCAGCAGCAGGCATCACAGTTGGGATCGAACCCACGACCGCTGTATACCAAGCGAGGTAGTTAACATCTCCTAGCCACCGTGATGATGGTGATGAGAGAGACACGCAAACTCCAAATATACAGCAGCAGCAGCAGGCATCACAGTTGGGATCGAACCCACGACCGCTGTATACCAAGCGATGTAGTTAACATCTCCTAGCCACCGTGATGATGGTGATGAGAGAGACACGCAAACTCCAAATATACAGCAGCAGCAGGCATCACAGTTGGGATCGAACCCACGACCCCTGTATACCAGGCGACGTAGTTAACATCTCCTAGCCACCGTGATGATGGTGATGAGAGAGACACGCAAACTCCAAATATACAGCAGCAGCAGGCATCACAGTTGGGATCGAACCCACGACCCCTGTATACCAGGCGAGGTAGTTAACATCTCGCCACCGCAAACAAATAGTGTGGCTACAACTACGTCTGGCCGTTTTTGTCTCCCCATCATAAACGTTTAGACCAGATACTCATTCAATACAGAACTATTTAGATTTCGAGAACCAGGTTAATTAAAGTGTCTCGCTCGGCCCATTGTTAACCTCCTGAAATCCTTGCGAATCCCCCGCGTAGTAAAGGCTCATTAGTCATTAACCTTTAGTGAGACAGCTCGCATATTGTTAGCTTTGGTAAAGACTTTAGGATTCTTTAGACTGACCGATATTACACTTTATTATTAATCAGATCGTTATCATCTCCATACAATCCGACGACACTCACCACCCACCACCAAAAGCAGCGCGTGCATGGTGAGTGCCTGTCGAGTGCACAGTCGGTGCATCTGCATGGGCCGTGCAACATCCGGAGCAGCCCAGGCATGGGCTAACAAAGAGGGGACCCACATTTCATTTTTCACCGCTCGCACCGCGGTATCACGGCGGCCGTGCTACGCCGCTGGCCGCGTGAACGTCGGCTCCACGTTGAGACGTGGCACCTCCATACTCTTTGTTTTTTTCCGTAAAGTCACGTAGGTAAAAAATAAATGAAAAAAACAACTAAATTAAATCACGACGTTTCGGAGGCAACAAAAGCTTCTGTCTTCAGGTGGAACGTTCACAGCGAAATAGTAATTTAATTTCGTTGTTTTTTCATTTATTTTTTACCTACGTGACTTTACCGAAAAAAAAAAGTATGAATCCTTGCAGTCACGAAAACTTCAAAGCTAGTGGCACCTCCAATTAGCACGTTTGGCTACGTACATTGTGAAAGAAGTTCAACATAAACACAACATGCGTACCTGTGTCAGATGGCGGCGAGGCTGGCTCCTGGGCTTGTGCGGTGGGGCCCGTGTCCCTACGGCCACCCGGCCGCCCGCGGTTTACACCCCAGCGCTCCCAGGGCGACCTCTTCTCGGACTCGCCTCCACGTGCAACGACAGCGACACACGGGTCACTCACCACGCCGCACACGGGCCAGGGCAGCGAGCTTGCCTCGAAGTACCACCGGGCATTCACTGCTCTCACAATTATTTCCTGGGCAACCCAACACACAACCTCTGAACCCCATCGCCTCCACCACCCAACACGCAACCTCTGAACCCCATCGCCTCCACCACCCAACACGCAACCTCTGAACCCCATCGCCTCCACCACCCAACACGCAACCTCTGAACCCCATCGCCTCCACCACCCAACACGCAACCTCTGAACCCCATCGCCTCCACCACCCAACACACAACCTCTGAACCCCATCGCCTCCACCACCCAACACACAACCTCTGAACCCCATCGCCTCCACCACCCAACACGCAACCTCTGAACCCCATCGCCTCCACCACCCAACACGCAACCTCTGAACCCCATCGCCTCCACCACCCAACACACAACCTCTGAACCCCATCGCCTCCACCACCCAACACACAACCTCTGAACCCCATCGCCTCCACCACCCAACACACAACCTCTGAACCCCATCGCCTCCACCACCCAACACGCAACCTCTGAACCCCATCGCCTCCACCACCCAACACGCAACCTTTGAACCCCATCGCCTCCACCACCCAACACGCAACCTCTGAACCCCATCGCCTCCACCACCCAACACACAACCTCTGAACCCCATCGCCTCCACCACCCAACACGCAACCTCTGAACCCCATCGCCTCCACCACCCAACACGCAACCTTTGAACCCCATTGCCTCCACCACCCAACACACAACCTCTGAACCCCATCGCCTCCACCACCCAACACACAACCTCTGAACTCCATCGCCTCCACCACCCAACACGCAACCTCTGAACCCCATCGCCTCCACCACCCAACACACAACCTCTGAACCCCATCGCCTCCACCACCCAACACGCAACCTCTGAACCCCATCGCCTCCACCACCCAACACGCAACCTTTGAACCCCATCGCCTCCACCACCCAACACGCAACCTCTGAACCCCATCGCCTCCACCACCCAACACACAACCTCTGAACCCCATCGCCTCCACCACCCAACACGCAACCTCTGAACCCCATCGCCTCCACCACCCAACACACAACCTCTGAACCCCATCGCCTCCACCACCCAACACGCAACCTCTGAACCCCATCGCCTCCACCACCCAACACGCAACCTTTGAACCCCATCGCCTCCACCACCCAACACGCAACCTCTGAACCCCATCGCCTCCACCACCCAACACACAACCTCTGAACCCCATCGCCTCCACCACCCAACACACAACCCCTCATTGTTGGGAAGGGGGAAATTTTTCTAGAGCTTAGCGCTGGATAGCTCCCGCTGAAATAAAGCCCCGAGTACCACTGAAGACCGCCCATCTAGTTGCGTTTAGGAAGAGGTGCTGATGGCTACGTAGAGAGAGGGCAGTAGAGGGCAGTGCAGCAGTGTTGTATTGTATTTCTGTGCTCCCTATGGTGTGTGCCGTGCCCGCCCCCGCACCCGGAGGCTCACCTGATGACGCTGCCCCGGCCGACCCCGCAGACTTCCCGGAGAGGAAGAGTTCGGACGTCGCCTTCTTCATGGTGCTCGGTGCCGGCGTCGCCTCGGGCTTCCTCTCGGTCAGGTCGTTCGGGAGCTTTTCTGCTTCGCTCTCCGATCTCCGTTTCGAAAACCTTTCCTCCGAGCGGCTGCGACCGATCGAGAACGAGAAGCCCGACACGGTGGCCTCGATCCTCTTCCGAATCGACTCGCGGTCTCGCTTCAAAGGCTGCTCCGGGTCCCGGACGTCGCCTCCCACGCTCCTCGACTCCGAGTCTTCCCGCGCCGCACGCTCCACGCTCTTCTGCCTCTCCTTGGAGCTGCTGCGCCCGAACGTGAGCGAGAGGCGTCTCCCCAGTCCCGGGGTCTCCTTCCCATCCTCCTCTGTGCCCGTGAGGCCCAGGTCGAGAGCCTTACGTTCTGAGGATACGGAGCGCTTCACTTTCAGCGACAGCCTCCGCACGAAACCGACGTCCTTGTCTTCCATGGACGGCGTGGACGACGCCTTCTGAGACGGGGTCTCCGGGTGCTGCGCCACCTCCATCTCCCCTCTCTGCAAATGTTCTTCCTGGACGATTCGAACAGGCGCGTTGGCCTGCCGGGGTCGGTACACCTCCTCCTCGTCCGTGCGGTACGACTTGGCGGGCGGTTCCTCTGCCTTGGTCTTCTTCATGAAGGGGAAGACGCGCGTCAGGGACGACTCGCGATGCTTCTTGAACTTGGCCTCGAACACCGCCTCGGAGTCGATGTCCTCGATGTGCGGGAGCCTCCTCTCGGCGGACGTGGACCGCGGCCTCCCGGCGTCCCCGTGTTGCGGCGCGGACAGCGCCGGTGCCGACGGGGTCCGGCGCAGCTCGGATGAGGGGGCGACCCCCGTCGGGACGAGCGGAGCGAAACCAGGGCCCCGAGTCTCCCTGGCGCCACCCTGGTGCCCGGCAGGTGAGTCCACGGACGCCATCTTCTGCTTCAGAAGCGCTCGCTTCTGGGTGGTGTCGGAGAATGGCACGGGCGCGGGGGCCGGCACGGGGGCCGGCGCGGGGGCCGGCGCGGGGCCGGCGGGGGCCGGCGCGGGGGCCGGCACGGGCATGGGAGACGCTGGGCCCGCGGGGCCACCGCCGAGATCGCGCGTCTCTCTCGTGGCCGGAGCGAGCGGCGGCTCCGGCGTGGAGAACCTGGCCTCGCTGGGCTGAGCGCCGCGCTCCTGCGTGAGCACGCGGGCGTCCCCGAGCACCGCGCGGGACGCTTCGTGCGGATGCTCCGACTCCTTCCGGAGAGGCTGCACTCGCCGCGCCATCCCGCCGGTCGTGGCGCTCTCTCCGTCCGGCTCCATCGCGGTCGGCTCCGTCACCTTGATGATGGGAATCACGGAGCCGCGTGGAGCCGTCGGGGCGGTGCCGGCACCGGGCGACCGCTGCGGGAGGGAGAGGGGCTCGTGCGCTCTGGGAGGTACGGGGCCGTTTCTCGCTCCTCCTGCGGGTGAGGCCACTTTCGTCGCGGCCACAGGCGATGCTCCCGCGGGGGGCCCGATCAGCGGAGCGGGCGTCGTGGGACGCGACGTCGGGGCCGACTCGGGCGACCGTTCTTCCCGCAGTCCTGGGCCGGGTGCCGTCACGGTCTCCGTTTGCCCGTCCTCCTGCTCCTTCTGGGCCTCAGTGGTGGAGGCGATGCGGAGCGGGATCTCCAGTGGTCCCCCCATGAAGCGCCGGTGCATGGGCACCTCCTCGCCGTGCGTGAACGAGGAGCTCTTCTGCATGCGGCCACGGTCACGTTGCTGTTGCGGTGGCTGCTGCGGCCGCTGCCGCGGGTCGGGCTGCTCCCCGGGGAGGTCGGTGAGGCTGCCTCGCCGGCTGTGGCCGCCCTCGCCCGTCGGCGTGACGGCCCCGCTCCGGTCGGGCCTGGGCGGCCGGTCCGCGTAGCGGTCGAGGGAGAGGCTGCGCCACTCCCGCGACCCCGGCGCCGACTTGTGCGCCTCCGCCTCGGGGCCATCGGGCGCCAGGCCGAGCCGCTCCAGCAGCGGCCCCCGCAGTCCGCTCATCTTGCCGTCCGCGCCGCTGCCACGCAGCAGCCTCTTGCGCATGAGCTCAAGACGCAGGGCGTGCTCCTCGGGGGTGACTGGCCCGGCCCCCCCTGCCAGCAGCCCCCTCCTGGCGCCCGGGGAGTCGACGGACGCGGACTTTTTGAGTCCCGGATTCTGTGGTGGCGCCGCCGCCTCTGGGACGTGGTTCTCCTCGCCCGTCCAGGGCGGCAGCGCGCTGTCGGCCGAGCTCCCCCTGCGCATCTGCTCGCGGCGGCGCCGCGCCGGCGACTCGCTCCCGCGCGGATCCCCCGACCGCTCCTCGTCGGATGACGACGAAGACGACAACGACGAGGTGGAGCTGGCCGCCTCGCCCGACCGTTTCCGACTCCGCCGCCGTCTCCGCGCCCCCGCCGGCGACTCTGCCGGCGACGCCGAGGAGTCGAGCCCCGGGCCCGCGTCGCCTCGTTCGGCGGCAAGGCCCTGCCGCTCCGCCACCTGCGGGACGGATGCGTCACGACTGACGCGGGCGAGGGAGCGGCGGACAGCTGTGCGCACGCGCGAGTGTGCGTGCGGCGTCGTTTACGTCTGGGTGCCACGCGTAGTCCGGTAGCGTCGCGGCAGCCCGGCAGAGCGGCTCCGGTGGCGCCGCTCGGCATGGCGGCTCCGGGCGACGCTGCTTGAATGCGGCCATGAAGGAGGGCAGGTCCTCCGCCTCGTCCGACTCGGAGCTAGAGGATAGAGCCACGCGGTCGCCGGTGCGACGCGGCGCCCCGAGGGAGTGCTGGCCCGGCCCCGACGCCAGCAGCTCGGGGATGGGGCGCAGCACCAGACTCGACTTGTAGGCGACGAGGGAGCGCTGAGGGGCGGGGGAGGGGATAGCGGCGCGGGCGTCACAACGCTACGGGAACGCACCAACGTACGAACGCGAGCGACCGGAGGCATTCGGTGGCGGTGGCCCAGCGAAGCCCCGTGCGATGTGCGTGCGGGCCTTTGGAAGCCGCGCACGGTTAATTGCGAGGTCCCGGAGCGAGGGGAGCGCACGCTCGGAGCACCTGCCACTTGCGGCGTGACAGGAAGAACTTGATCCGGTCAGTGCTGACCCGGGCCGCGTCCCGGGCGGCGGACGGCGCCACCTGCGCACGGGGCCACAGCGCACGCCACCACGTGACGAATCAGGGGTCGTTCGGGCACGGAGCCGATATTTCCACATCGAGACGAGCGTGCGGATTTCACGCAATGCCGATGACGACGCGTAATTATTCCTCGTCAAAGAGTTGTACGCGGGCTCAGCACCGCGGCGTGAACTGCTCACCTGGAACCAGGGGTCATCCAGACACTCCAGGGCCGACGGCCGCTCCCTGCGCAGAAACAAGACGGTGGGGAGCGTGACGCCCGAGTGCGGCTCTCATGGGGATTGCCCACAGTGGGGGGGGCGGGGGTGGTGCGCAGCGAGGTAAAGCCCTACAGGAGGACATCTGACAAAGTCACTTCACAGCCCAGTGGATTTGTTTAACAAATTACTACGCAGTTAAGCAACCCCTTAGCTGCCTACAAAGCGCTGCATCAGAGACATGCACCACCGTGATCAGCTTTGCGACCGCACGATAATCGCATCCCCCGCATTTAAACTCCGGAGAGAAGAGACTTCTGTTCGACGACCACCACTGCCCTCTCCCCCAACGCCCACCGCTTGCCTGGGGTCCACCGCCAGCAGCCGAGCGATGAAGCTCCCCGCTTCTGCGCTGAGCGCGGAGAAGCAACGCTCGAGGGAGAAGCGTCCCTCGCGAACGCGCATCAGGGTCCCGCGGTCATTCTCGCCCAGGAACGGGGACGTGCCGCTCAGACTGCAGCAGCACGCGACACGCGACACGTGACACGCGACACGCGACATGTGACACATGGCACGCGACACGCAACACATGACATGCAACACATGACACGCGACACGTGACACGCGACACGTGACACATGACACGCGACACGCGACATGCAACAAATGACACGTGATACATGACACACGACACGTGACACATGACACGACACGCGACACATGGAACGAGACATGCAACACGCGACACATGACACACAACACACGACACACGGCATACGTCACGTGAAATATGACACGATACGAGACACGCGACATGCGGCATGCAGCACATGACATGCGACACCCGACACGTGACATGCGACACATGACGTGCGATACACGACATGCAACACGCGACATGCAACACGCGACAAGCGACACGCGGCAACGCGACACACGCCGCTACTGCCAATTATCTCCCTAATCCGCGGAGCTCGATAATTCGTGTTAAATAAGAAGTTAAAAAAGAGAATTACAACGGGCCAATTACCGGCCACGAGATAGTGTTCAACTCACCAAATGTAGGTAATGACTCCGACGGGCCTGCAAGGACACGCATTACAATTAGTCGCGTCTCCCGCTCGCACAATACAGCCGGATGCAAACGTCCAATTAGGCTGCGGGCGCACGCGTGCGGCGGGCGCTGTGGTGAGCGAGGATTGCCCCCTCCCCGGCGGCGGTAATGACCCCGCTGGGGGCTCGTGGGTGGGGAGGGCGACAGGGCCGGGTATCAAGGTCACCAGATGTCGGTTGCCGTGGACACGGGCTGCTGCAGGACGATTTCAGGCGCCACAAACTCGGGGGTCCCGAAGGCGCTGTACTGCGGCTGCCCCGGGGGCATGAGCTCCTGCGCCGAGCCCAGGTCGCAGAGCTTCACATCCTCGGCGTCGGGTCGCGCCATCAGCACGTTCGCCTCCTGAGAATATACACACGCAACGACAAGCACAAAGATCCCCCATATAGGCTGTTGGGGCCGTACGGTACATGCGGGGGGTGGGTGGCCAGCACCACCCCTGACCGCTTGTGTGCCTCCCCAGTGGCAATGTTTATACACCACACCAGGTACTCATTTAAGGCTGAGTCGACCTAGGGTAAGCCCAAGACCCCGGTTTAGATAATTGTCACTGGTGTTTGTTGTGAGCGTGAATTGAACTCGGGTCGCCGGGTTCATAGTGCAGCGCCCTCACCGCTAAACTACCGCTCCCCACATCGCGCTATCAGCACATTCGCCTCCTAAGAATAGACACGCATACGACTACACACACGGGGTCATGCACGTCAGTACACATAAGGGGAATACGTGCGGGCACATGCACGCGTACACACAAGTACACACACACGCATACACGCTTGCATAGACACGCATGTGCACACACGTATATTCACACGAGTACACATCCAGTGCCTACTTCTTAGTGCCCCCAGGGCACTAATGGACTGTGTAGTGCCTCCAGAGCACTAGTGTGCTGTGTAGTGCCCCCAGGGCACTAGTGTGCTGTGTAGTGCCCCAGTGCACTAGTGTGCTGTGTAGTGCCCCCAAGGCACTAGTGTGGCGTATAGTGCCCCCAGGGCACCTTGATGTCCAAGTGCAGCACGCCGGACTGGTGTAGGTAGTGCACACCCTCCAGGATCTGGTGGATGTAGGGATGCACCTGCCAGAGAGGAGACACAACATCAGCTGCAGCGGCCGCGTGGTGATGATGATATTGATGCTGATAGTGTGAGAGACCAATTGAGGGAGATATATTTTTGGTGATATCTCCAAGTCGGCCGCCCACCCCGCCCACCTGCAGCTCAGAGATCGCAGGCTTCTTCACCAGGCGGTCCAGGAGTTCCTCGCCCGAGCAGCTGGAGGCCGAGGTCAAGGGAGGACAAGGCCGGGCAACACAGACGGACTGGGCGGCACCGCGCCGATGGCTATCTTGGTGGTTGCAGAGAGACAACTACGATGACGCTGCTGGAAGTGGTCAATGATGACGACGGTTGCTTATGAGGGCGATGGTGGCGGCGTTATGATGATGCTGATTAGCGATTCCGGTCTGTCAGCAGGAGGACCGCGAGGCCCCACTGGGGGAGTGGGGGGGCGGAGGAGGAGGTGGTGTCGGTGCGTGGCTCGAGGATACAGCTCGGTGAGGATGATGAGACGCCGCCTGGTCTGGAAGGCGTCCCTCAGGCAGGCGAGGCGTGGGTGCGACACCCTGGCGAGGATGCGCAGCTCGCGCTGCGCCTCGCTCCTCCGCCCTCCCGCGCGCGACACGAACTTGGCCGCCACCTCCAGACCCGTGGCGCGGTGCACGGCACGGCGCACCACCGAGAAGGCGCCCCTGGGACCGAGACGCGAGCGCCGTGAGCGCCGCGAGCACGGGGTCGTCCGCAGCGCGCCACCGGAGCGACTTTACAAAGTGCCGGCTTCTCACCTGCCGATCTCCTCCTTGACGTCGTAGCAGTCGGAAACCATGCGCAGCCTGCTCATCAGATCCTCCTCATCCTCATCGGGCTCCCTGACTGTGGACGCACAGCAAGCGGCGGTCACTGCCCCGCCTCGGGGCACGTGAGTCGTCTCGTGTTTGTATCGTGAGCTGGTGAGTTTGTGTCGTGAGCTGGTGAGTTTGTGTCGTGAGCCGGTGAGTTTGTATCAGTGAGCTGGTGAGTTTGTGTCGTGAGCTGGTGAGTTTGTATCGTGAGCTGGTGAGTCTGTGTCGTGAGCTGGTGAGTTTGTGTCCCAGGGTGGTGACCCTGTGATGCGTGCGAGTGCCGTGCGGTGCCCCACCGGAGCACACGCTCAGCTCGGCCTTGCAGCTGCACTCCCCGGCCGGGTTGCGCGCCACGCACGTGTACACGCCGCAGTCGGCCTGGCTCACGCTCAGGATCACCAGCGAGCACTCGGCGTCGTCGTACACGAACGACACGTGGCTGCTCTCCGCCAGCAGCGCGTCATCCTGCCGCGTGGGGAGGAGGGGGGGTAGGGGTCCAGGTGGGAAACACGGGGGTCACGTCCTGCTCCGCGCCACACACGCGTGTGTCTCACGCGTGTGCATCACGCGTGCACTTCACGGGTGCGCCTCACGCCTCCCGCACCCCCCGCGTCCGCTGGCGCGCACCTTGAACCAGAGCACGTCCGGCAGGGGAATCCCCTCGACCACCACCGCCAACCTGGCGCTCTCCCCGGGCGCCACATCCACGTCCTCCATGATCTCGTCGAAACGAGGGGCCTCTGTGAGCAGCACACACGGGTCAAGCCAGTCGAGGGGCGAGGACGGGGAGGAGGAGAACGGGAGGGGCTGGGAGCAGGGGGAGGGGCTGGGAGCAGGGGGGGGGGGCTGGAGGCAGGGGGGGGGCACTCACCCGCCAGCTGCACGCTGACGGCGCAGCTCGCGGTGCCGAGCGCGTTCTCGGCGAGGCACACGTACTCCCCCAGGTGGCGCCGCATCACGGCCGCGATGTCGAGCGAGAACGAGTCCTCGTCGTGGGTGCCCAGGCTGTAGCCGTCCCTGTGCAGCTGCACCGGGATCCCGTCCCTGCGAGGCGAGCGCGGGCGCGGGTGAGCGAGGGCGCACGCGCGCGGGCGCTCCGGCCGAAACGAGTGGCGCCGGGGCGCGGATTGGTCGGGGGCTGGTGAGCGGAGTTTGGCGAGCGCTGCCGACAATCCCCCCCCACCCCCCCCCGAGTTACGCGAGGCCGTGCCTGGTCCAGCTGAGCGCGGCGGCGACGTGGTTGATGGAGTAGGCGAGGCTGGCGGCTCCGCGCTCCGCCACGAACAGCGCCTCGGGAACCTCCACGAAGCGCGGCGCCTCCTCCTGGAAGGGCCCTGCGCTCGCGCACACGCGGGGGGCGCCCGTCAGCCGCGTGTCTCCCTGGTGCCCCCCGTACCTCGCGGGGGGCCGCGTCGCGAGCCGGCGAAGGCGCCCGAGCGCGGCGGCGGCGGCGCGAGAGGTACTGACGTCGCGGGGCGAGGGCGACGGGCGCGGAGGCGCGGACGGCCAGCGGGGC